AGCCCGCGGGATTATTGTACCCATTGTAAGGATTCCAATTATGGTATGGATGATGATACCACACCATATTCTGGCCATGGCACAGATACCAATTGCATGCAACAGTTCAACGCACATGACCATATTACCTAGCGATTATTGCAAGTTACCAATTACCCCAAAACGATTACCCAACAACACACATTGAAAAGAAAACAGCTGGCAATGGTCGAAAGTACTCGGGTCTTTGTACTGTCACCCGTGGTGGTGTTGCTGACGATGCGTTGGGCCTACTGCAGCAATGAAGAAGTCTCTCCCTTTCGGTGTTTTCTACGTAGACTTCTGACCGGTTGATCACCCACAGCATTGTAGAATCGCGACTTCAACTATATGTCATGCTGTTTCGGCATTCTTGCATGTTCTGTGTTTTCGAATAAACATGGACACTCAAGAGAATATTGTTTGCAAGAAATGACCTTGACGCATTCGTTTTCATGAAGGTCGGGCACCAAAAAACACCATCAGTTTGTGCCCTATGGATCAGAAACATGGATCCAACATGATCCAACAATTTGTAGCTCGATTGTGTCCGACAGCGTGCACCACAAAATGAGTCAGTGTTTTTTTCAACATCTTGGGCAATCATAGGATATGATTGGATGCCCCAGGCCCCCAAGGGGCGCTCAAAATCTCTCATTTTGTTGGCATCTGTTGGGGCCCTAGTTCCATGTGAAGTATAGAACTCCAGAAGATCCATGGTCATGATATGATCATGATCATTATACTTCCATAATGGATGATTGATGATTGAACTTATTTTCTCCCATCATTCCGATCTTTTTTTTCTCCCTGTGAATCCACTAGGAGGTTGTCTGAGACTTGGGTACCTCATTCCATCCACCGGATCAAAACCTTAAAAATTCCCTAGGAAAAGTGCAACTTTAGGGTGGACAAATACCACATTGCCAGGCACATGTTTCATACATTGTTGGTTCTATATTCCATCAATATTTCATTATTCTATCCCATTGTATTTCCATAATATATTATATATATACCATTTAGTTATGTCACACATCCCATCATAATACACCAGTTCTAGGATATACCCCATTATATCCCATAAAATCATATACATTCCATGCTTCTCCCATCACTCATAGAATGGTTCCATATTTTTTAACAAAAACCTAAGACTAAGGTCTTGTTATCCCATAAAATCCATGAATTCTCCCGGTACTCATCCATACTTGGTGGTTCATCCCACGAATCGTAAGTAGGTTCGTTCACTCCAGTTGTAAGTGCATAAAAACCCTACTTATCCCACTGGATGAACCAGGGATATATACATATATAACCCACTTAGGATTCATCGCACGAGCCACCAAGTAGATTCCATTATATTCCCATCATAGTCCATATATATATATATACACACATATATATATATATGTATAGATATTCCCATGATAATTTCCATCATATTCCCCATCTTTCGTGGGATGAGCCAAAAATGGCCGAATCTTTCGAGGTAAAGTCATTGGTAGTGGCCTCAGTGGCCCGGTGCGCCTGGCCACCGGCAAGGCGGAGAAATTTTTCGGACGGTGATGACTTTGTGAAAAAAGTGGTTACCCTCTGGTTAGTAAACCATGGGAAAACCATGGGAAAATGGTGATTTATATGGAAAGATCCACCATTTTTCATGGGAAAATCACCAGCTATTTCTATGGTCATGGCTTCAATAGCTATTTTGACATAACCAGAGGGTATACTGGTTGGTGGTGACTGGAACCATGGAATTTTATGACTTTCCATATCTTGGGAATAGTAACCCCAACTGACTTTCATACTTTTCAGAGGGGTTGAAACCACCAACCAGTTATAGGTGGTCAGCTAAGATGGTCAACTTAATTGACAGATATTGAAAGCTGGTCAACTTTTTGAACAGTTGACTAACATAGTTCTGGAAAAATCAGCCTTCACCTCAGGATGTTTTGGGAAAATCCCCAAAGGACGTACGTGGGAGATGCTGATACTGTCAGTACTGTGGATGGTTGCGAAATCCTACGCCACCAGAAGGATGCTTGAAACTATTAACATCCATTCACCCCATGTATGTTGATAAGGCCCATCAATAGGGGAAACCCTATGAATAACGTAATCCCCAACACATTAAGGGTAGGGATAACCCCCGAACTAATCAACCGAAGGGTTAAAAACATTGCTCAGTTGGGCAACTGATTTCAGCAATGAAAATGATGGCTTTACGGTACCAACATGTTGAAAGTGGATAATCCCTGGATAAACCATCAACTGGTGCAGGATTTCGCTGGCCCATCCACATTAGGTGGGTCAACTTTTTCGTCAACTTCAATTGAAGGGTGGTCAACTTTTTGAACAGTTGACTCACATACCCTCTGGTAAACGTTTACATAACTATGGAAAATCACCATTTTTAATGGGTAAATCCACTATTTCAATGGCCATGGCTTCAATAGTTTTTTGTATGTTTGCCAGGCCGGGTATCCTTAGTTTTCTTTGAGATTCTGGATGGTCAACTTCGTCAACTTATAATTGAAAGGTGGTTTCAACTTTTCGAAACAAAATATCGACGAAGGGCCTAGGGTATTTTTCTTGGGGAGTTCATGACGATACAACTAGTCATCCTAGTGATACAATTGGAGATAGGTCATGAATATGAATGGCCTGGGGAATTCCATGGTTTAACAAAACGTGATCAACGGATAATCATATCGAGCAACCACCTTGTATGGTCCAAATATGAGTAAATCACCTACTAAAACCATGGTTGAAGGGTGGCAATCAATATTTGGGGGAAGGGATTATTAGTTTATCAACATCAGTTTAGCAACTTTAATTGGGGGTTACCGGGTTACCACCAATCTAAAGTGCAAAATGATCAACAGTGGCATATCCCTAATAATAGACGGGTTGGTCATTAATTAGTCCTGGGTTAAGAATTCCTTGGCAAATCCTCCAGTGCTTCCTACTGAGGGAAGCTACCTTGAGGTACTTGGACACATCTCTGTTAGTAAGTGGTTCATAACATTTTATAACACATAAACCGTGTGAATAGACATATACCATAATATACCACAATTAATAATACATTATCATACATTACTACATTACCCAATATATTCCTCATAAAACTGAGCTATTTTACACACTACCCAAAGCGCCCCTTCGGAAGGCTGACGGACTGAAGTATGCCATCAAGAGTTTCAAGCTCGGGGGCCCGGCAAGCTACGGGGATGGTTGTGAAATCGGTGAGATTGGTAGGTTCTGATGCATGCGTTTAAGTTTGGACCTTTTTGTGACCGTACATTGAGCCCTTTTAAACCATCAGTTAATGAATAGAGCCCTTTTAAACCATGAGTTAATGAATATTAATGAACAATAATGAATAATAATGAATATTAATGAATATTAATGAATATTAATGAATATAATATTAATGAATATTAATGAATATTAATGAACATTAATGAATATTAATGAATATTAATGAATATTAATGAATATTAATGAATATTAATGAATATTAATGAATATTAATGAATATTAATGAATATTAATGTACTACTACCAAGCAACAAATCCAGCTCTGAAAGACAGCGAATACGCCGAGAGCAACGGTCACTGCCATGGTCAAACTGCCGGAATCGCTGTGGATAGTGATGATTTCATGGGGAAGATGAGGTTACCGTATGGATTTTGTTCTGGTGTCAGACAAAGCCATCTAGATTGCAGGTGAAATCCAACTTTTCGTTAGACCCACCTGTAGTTGAAATATGTTAAAATGACAGTTCTTGGAACCGAAAATCAGCAATGTTTCTCATAGAATCCCAATTTCTGTCGCTTCAAATCCCCAAAAAATCGTTGCATCTCGCGGAGGAAGAAGGGCATGTCCTCCTGCAAACGTGCGGAGTTGAAGAGCGAGGCGTGCCAAATGCCACGGGAAAATTGTACTTGGAGGATCTTGCAACGTGGTTTTTCTGTGCTAAATGCGGAATCAGCTACAGGATGGCCCCCCCCCAGTTATAAGTTGGTTTATAAACCATTATAATCCCCATTAACTATAGTTATATCTACCATAAACCATTGTCAAGCCACTTATAAACCAACTGAACGCTATCTTGGGGGCCCCATCCTTTTTTCGGGGAAGAACACATTTTTCAAAACATCGAAAAACCACTGAGGATTCATGGGATGATCGATATTTCATGGGGACAAGAAAAATGGGATATGACCAACTGTTCCGGGCATACCAACCCAACTGGTGAAGGGTAGTTTCAGACAACTTATGTTTGTAAGTTGCTCTTATGTTCTGAGGGGTGAAGTGGGATGCGAAGTTATTTTTTCAGAGTTTGATCAGGATATGCAATTAGGAACATTTTTTTGTTGAAAACAACTCTCTGTGTTTTTAAAAGGGTCTTGTGGGATATCCTACGGCAAACCCATGGTTTCCCTTGTTTGGACGGTACAATCACATGAACCACCGCAAGACAGGAGGGTTTTGTGGAAGATCACGGAAAAAAGGTCCTCTGACATTCCACTAGAGCCTCCCAGGTAAGTGGTTCATAGTCATGATATAACACCCACATAAATGGTATAACACTCCAAAAAATGGAAAAATCTCGCATAAATCCTGCAAAGTTTCATGGCGGCCGAACAATTGGTTTGTGTGTGAAAATGGGACCAGCCCAAATTTGATGACTTGAAAACCTTATTTTCCATATTTATAAATAAAAACATGGTCATTTTATGGGCTTAATCCATCTAAAATCCGCCATTCAAACAGCCGGTGAAGTTTGTCACCGCTTTTCACGGTGACAGGCGGAGGTCTACCTTACCTTGGACCACCCCCATGTGGCGAAGTCGGGGGCCTCGGGCGTTCCTCCGCGCAGCAGGAAGCAGTAGATTTTTTCCATATATATTCGGAATAGTCATCCCAACTGACTATATAATATTTTTCAGAGGGGTTGAAACCACCTTCCAGATAGACAATTGATGAAACTTACTGGATCTGATCCGTAGACATATACAAAAAGCCTTAACATGCTATGGAAGATCCACGGTTTCGGAAAATGATGTACTTGGTGGTTCATCCCACTTAGTAAGTAGGTCATAAGCCCAAGTTGTAAATGGATGAGCCCTACTTATCTCACTAATAAAACCAGGGATATAACCTACATCCAGGATTCGTGGAAAGTTCGCCACCAAGTAGAAATGCGTGTATTTTCCATGTCTATCTCATTCGCTTGCAGTTGCTTTAACTGCAGGGGCTTAATTTATCTCCGCTGCTTCGGGGTTGTTGAGAAATCCCAGAAAAGGTGAGGCTTTTTCCCATGAAAATCGGTGCGTGGAGGATCATCCCCACAGAATTTCGTAGCTTAGCCATGATGTTACCCTCTGGTAAACATACAAAAAGCTATTGAAAATGACCATTTATTGTGGATTTACCCAGCTACAAAATGGTGATTTTCCATAGTTATGTAAACGTTTACCAGAGGGTAGATGTTAGCCAGCATAATATGAAGCCCACCATAATATGGGGATGTTTTGTCGATGACTTTTTCTAGGCAGAAACTCACCATTTTTTCGAGGACCGTGGGATGATCATGGATGATCCTCAGGGGTCCCTGGGACGAGGTTGGAAATGATCTACGAAACTGACGAGGTGGCAGGGTCGTCAGCTTGAGCTGCGATGAGGTTGTTGGGCTAAAACGAAACATGGTAATTTTTCAGCATCTAAGATCATCTAAGCAGCCAAAACAAGCATCCCATTTTTAGTCAGATGTATCATATTCCATGTTTTTCCATGTTTTTAGTTGGTTTACTTTAGCATTTGACCTTGTCCGGCTTGTCCCACGAAGATGCCAACCTTGGTTCACAGTTATCACCTCGTTTGGGTACTTGACTTATCAGGATTCATGGGATATTTATGGAAGTTATGGGATATTCATGGGATATTCATGGAAATTATGGGCTTTTCATTGACTTTCGCAGTTCATTAGTTGGGACAGTTGGGAGCTGTACCATGGGGTACCTGGTGCATCAGGCGCCGTCGTCTCCGTTTTCGCCGCTGAGCTCGGCAGGAGATGCACTTTGTGATGGAATACATGTCGGGTGGGGAGCTCTACAAACGCCTCTCCAGTCGCAAGCGCTACTCTGAGGTGGGCGAACGCCGATGGGAGATTTCCCATGGACAAAAATGGAGGGAATGGGAAAATCATTCGAAAACCCCCGAAGCAAATGGAGGTTTCTAGCCTAAATGGGATAATTGTATGGCTTGCCATGTTTGAGAACACTGGAGTGTGCTGTATCACCATGAAATGGCAATTTTTGATGATTAGCCAGTGGATGCAAGGAGGTCTTCCATCTTTTTCCCCCTCAATTTGCAGACAGACCCATATTTGGGGGTTTCCATAAATGGGGGTACCCCAAAATGGATGGTTTATAATTTATAATGGAAAATCCAATTAAAATGAATGATTTGGGGGTACCCCCATATTAGGAAACATCTATATAATATGAATTTTGATTTCTTGAAGATTCCTGGTGTTTTCCCATGTGTCGGACAGTTCATGGGATATCGTTGGTTTATTTTTATTGTCGGGCTGTGTTTCGCTTTCCAACCTTCTTTCATCCATGTGAAGGTTGGAGTTTTCAAGTCTCACAGTATTTATCTTCACAGGAGCATTCAACTATTGAAGAATTCGTGTCCTAATTGTTGAAAAAAACAGCATTGTACTGTATCTCCACAAAACAGTTTGTTCTATACTTCCGTAACTTCGTTGGTTAAATCACCATAGAAAATAAGGGTGATGGACCAAGAGCTATTGTACTGTATCATATTTTGGGCGGATGAACACCTATTTACATCCATTTACCAGCTATTGTGGTTATTACATATTACACTATTCAGATCTATTCAGTCAGGAAAGTTCATGCCCAAAGGAAGGGCATAATTTTTGGATACTGACGGACGTCAATCTACAGGGGGACAATCAACCTAGGTCGATTTGATTGATCCATTGATTCAGAATCAGAAGTTTTAATTGATCCATGGATAGTCAATATGTATACAGTATATATTTATTATATATTTATCACATATATATTTATTATACACTGTATTTATAGACTTCCCACTATTTACCATTGAATCCAAGTTCCTAGTTTTACTCCAACCTCCATGGATCAGGAAGCTGCAGCCTTGTGCATCAGACAGGTCCGAGCCGGCACGGGAAAACCGCCTTTGAAGCACAAACATTGGAGGTCAGTCAACGTGAAAACCGACACCGAAACTTGCTAAGACAAAAGGCACATTTTCCAAGATTTTTATAGATTTTCATAGATTTTTCCAAACACTGGGAGATCAAACCTGGAACATCAATGAAAATCTTGATGCATTAGGTTGTAGCAGGCTGATTTTTTGCGATAGATGGGGAACTGGTTCATATCCAGCTGAATTTTCAAGGGGTTTTACCTGGCATTTAACAGGATTGCTCCAACCAAGTATTGGTAAACCAAGTCCACTACTGGGTGGGAAATGAATGATTTTTTTACCTCCTCATTTACTCAACTTACCCCCTTTGCAACAGGGGTGTTGGGAGCAAGCCTGTTTAAGATTGGCAATTACAAATCATCATTTTGCTGTTCGGAATCTCCATTTCGCTGACCGGTTACACCATGTAAAACCCTCGAATGAACATGGCCGGTCACAGAGACCACATGTGCAGTGCGGGTTTGTCATCAATCCCTGAAACGTTGATTTATATTGCCATTATGTTTAGAATCCTCATGATGGGATGACACCAGTGAAATCCCAGAAGTTGGTTCTAAACCCCATTCCATGATTTTCCCCATGGTCAAATCATGTCAAATCCCATGGCTGGTTTCACCATATATCCCCAATTTAACTTGACCATGGCACATCTGAAGCAGGTTCTTTTGGCTGTAGCATATCTGCATGCTCGTCAGGCGAGGGCGGGGCGCGGGCTGAGCTGAGAAGTACAGTAGAACGGTGGTGCCTTAAATCATTTGGTGGGTTTGTAAGTGGCTTACCCCAGAATTAACATAGACCCCCCTGCCAAATACATAGTAGTTTGGAAGACTACTTTCCATATTTTTAGGGTCGATGAATTTGGAGGTTTGATCAGATCTTGGAACATATCCATACCCAATTATTGTCATTATATTTATATGGGAGTTTCCTGAAATGGGGGTACCCCAAAATCATCCATTCCAAATAGGGTTTTCCATGAAATAACCCATCCAGCGGGGTACCTCCATGATTATGGAAACCCCCATGACTCACTGGCAACAAAAAGTGACACGTTAGAAACCTCGTGACTCGCCCTGTGCTTCACCGCGCGACCTCGAAAAGAATCCGCCATGGCTGAGACGTTGAAGGTGGCCATCATCGGAGCAGGCCTAGGTGGTCTGACTTTAGCCAAGACCTTGCTGCAGCCGGAGCAGCCTGGTCGTCCGGTGGAGGTGGGACCTCAAAAAACACAATGTTTGGCCAAGAATTATGAAGAGAATTCCCATGGGATTAACAAGACTCCCCAATTATACAAGTCTAACAGGTACCTAGTACCTCTATAGATCCTCCAAATATATCCATAACAATGGTGTTTTACAGGTAATTGTAGTGCTTTTACATCCACTTTTACTATTTTTTGGTACTTCGAGTTTCGGGTCTAGGTGGGTTCAGATCCCCCACAACTTTTCCCTAAAAGGTGTGCATCTACGAAGCCTGGGACCATTGGAAGGTCCGTGGTGGTGCCCTAGGTCTGGCCGCGGGCGCACGGATCCTGCGGCGCCTGGGGCTTGGAGAACAACTCAAGGAGGCAGCGAATCAGGTGGACGGCTTTCGGCTGCACTTTTTCGCAGAAGGCACCGAGCTGAACTCCTTGAATCTCCCGGCATGCACGGCCACTGGGTGAAAAAAAATGGTGATTCCTAGGGATTGGCTATGGAAGCCATGGTCCATAGAAATATAGATGATCTTTGATGATTTACAGATGATGTTAATGGTGATATTGGTCATATTCCATAGCTAAATCGACAGAGGGTAATGTTAATTTGGATTCATTGAGGAGTTTTACATATATAGTTTTACCATATTTTACCACAAACATCGGGATAGTCTGATACTAAATTCGTACCCTCCCTTTTTTAAACAGCCCAGGGGTTTACTAATTTCCGGGGTTAACATCAGACATATGGAAATGTCATGAAATATCAGTAGCATAATATGGGATGAATATGGGATGATGATAGTGATTATGTCCTGCTGTAATATGATATATACATATATATATGTATATATATATATTATGAATTAAGTTGAAGATGTATTTTTTTTTCGAATTTCCCATTGGTCGGCATCCACCAGAACTGGATCTCTTCTGTTTTTTTTCTATGACACCAGAGAGGCCATGCGCACGGATCTTCAGAAGATCTTGGTGGACTCGCTCCCGTCCAGTTGTATCAAGCTTGGTCACAAGCTAAAAGAGATCACCGAAGGAAGCGATGACGTCACGCTGGAATTCGAGAACGGAGCAAGAGCCTCCGCGCATTTGGTGGTGGCATCGGATGGCATTCATAGCTTCGTGAGGCAGAAAGTCTTTGGTGGAGACCAGCCGGAGTTCACCGGCTTTCGAGTGTTGTATAGCCTTTCTTCAAAGCCTTTCCGTCCTGATCCTACCGTGGCTCATATTCATTGGAAGGAGGTGGATGGTGCAGGCTATGGAATGATGGACATGACTGCCGGCAAAGGTGAGAATCGCCATGATTTCATGATCATCATCATGCGCAGCGAGGAACAGGTCACTGACCGTTGGGACTCAACCTTGGTGAAGGAGAGACTCCAGGAGTTCGCGGAGCGCGTGGCCCCGGAGCACCCGGTCTTGGGGAAGGCCGTGGAATGCTCGGAGGTGTGCTTCGACTGGGGCATCTACAAGCAGCCCACCCGGGAGTCCTGGATCAGCTCGAAGGGTCGGGTGGTCCTGTTGGGCGATGCCGCCCATGCCACGGCTCCCTTCATGGGCCAGGGAGCCAACATGGCAATGCACGACGCCTTTTGCCTGGGTCAAATCTTGATGAACGACCAGATCCCGCTGCAGGATGGCTTGAAACTCTATGAGACCAGTCGGAAGCCCTACTGCGAAGCCGTGGTGTCCAAGAGTTCCATGGTGGGTGCCTTGCACACGGCCAGTGGATTCAAGGCAGCCTTGAGGAACAAGTTCCTGTCCTTGATGTTGCTGAGAAACATGAGGGCCGTGGTGGCCACAGATCCCACAGCTCGCAAGCCTTGGGAGAAGAGCCCCAGCTTCTTCCAGCAGTTGGGGAGGAAGATTCAAGGCATTTGTTCTCCCAAGGAAGCTGCTAAGGTCTAAATGTCCTCCATCCCAATCCTGGGAATGAGCCATAGCTGCCATAGCCATTAGCCAAGGCAGCTCGTTACTGGTCACCCCCCGTAAAATCCGATGCGGGGTGCCAGGCGCATGTACAGACGTTTAGTTTTGGAGCTTCGGCAACCACAGGATACCACAGGTGCCGAGCTCAGCTTGAACAGGAGCTCTACTTGACAAGTATCTCAGATTATCTCAGATTATCTCAGTATCTCTCTTGACTCTTTCCTGCTCAAATTGTGAGAAAACAGAGGATGGCTCAAACACCCCTGGGCAGTTCTGAAGGGTGATCCAACATGTCTTTTTTTTGAGGTCATGTCCCAATCATATCACTATTTACACCCCGAATGTTGTTGGGTACGTGCACTTCTAGCAAAGATATTTGCCCAAATAATATAGTTCACTCCCAATTTTCGTGACACTTTCTTTTCATGTAAAAAAACATGTAAACAAACATGTAAAACACATCCGGTCATGGGATTTTTCAGTGTTTCTCCATGTTTTTTTCTTTGTACATGATAGCCACAAGCCGAGGGACAATTTGTTGCCAGGTAGTGCACCGGGACTTGAAACTGGAAAATTTCCTGTACGAGAGCGAGGACGCTGTGCGAGAAGTTTGTCACAGGGTAAAATTTCCATTGGGTTTATCATGATGATGTATCCACATTTGTCCTACAAAAATACGAGAAAATTATAACTTTGCAGATGATAAATTTCTGATGAAGCAGGATTTAACTAGAAGAATCATATAAAATGTGGGGATATCATTGATATAATCTTTCATGCAATCTGATGTAACCAACAAGGTATATTTATGGGTGTCTGAAAATGTGGTTTTTGCGTTTTTTTTCCGTCCTAAATGGAAATTTTAATGAGGAACATTAGGTTCCTATTGAACATTGTGATTTTCCATATGGAGGTCTCCTAAAATGGGGGTACCCCAAATCATCCATTTTTATGGGATTTTCCATGAAATAACCCATCCATTTTGGGGGATACCCCCATTGATGGAGACTCCCACATATGTTAGTTTAGAAGGTAGACCCAAATGGCATGCTCCTCATCTTCATAATCTTCATGGATTATATAGATCATTCCTTGGTCCTTGAGGGACAACGGCAGGGGCGTCAGCTAACCTAAGAGGGATCCAAGGCTAGTCATTGCTAGGACTTTGTTGCAACCCACCAGGGTTGCTGATTTGAACTACAGTAAGACTGATGGTGTGAAGCTGCAGCTTTCTCTTGGGGGATACTGTGTCTCAACATCAATAGGTATCTTTCAGTAGCAAACACTAGTGATGGATCCCTGAAAAGGCTGTAAGAAGATGTAAGAAGCAGGGGTTTGACAAACACAATGGATCACAATGATATTTGATCAACGAAAACGCAGCTGTCCAAAGAACAAGCTGCTTTTCAACACTCCATTTTTCGCAGCAAACCTGTCAACGCCCTGTCAGCTGGAATCCTCACCTTGCGTTCAGGTTGGTGAATTAATTACCTCTAAAGGTATATCACGGTATATCATCATTGCCATGGCCAGAAAAAAATCCTGCAGTTCCAAGATTTTTGGCCAAGAAACAAACAACAAAAAACCATGTTTTGGGCCACGTTTCATCAGGACTCGGAGCATTTGAAGATCATCGATTTTGGCTTCGCCAAGTGCGCGCCCGAAAAGGATGGCCATCCAAAGGGGCAAACGACTCGGATGAGGATCTAACGACTCGGATGTTCGTCGAAGTACTGAACTTGGGGTTTGAAAGTTGGTTACTGTAAAAAATCTATCGGAAAACTTTACGGGAAAGCCCACATGATCAAACTGTATTGCCATGCAATATCTTAAACTATAGGAAACCCCAAATCGGAAATGGAAATTGGTGAATCATAATATTACTGTAATCATATTTCGAGGAAACCAATGGTGAAAAGTGGCATGCTAAGTGTTATGAAACATCCGTAGTGGCTATTTTTTTTTCGCACCCCAGGGATTTCAGCAGCAACTTTCTGCGATGCTGTTGGGACCTAAAACCATTGACTCAGGATTGTCAAAGAACCACTATATACCATTAGGATCCATTAGGTTGCTTTGAGTTCATGTGGGTATTTGCTGTAGCCCAAAGAATATCATATGGTTTTTCTCTGTTTCTCCCCTGTCGATCCCCTGTTTTTTTTTGCGTCAACGCTGCGAGATGGTGGACTATCTCAATGGGTTTCCCAGTCGTCATGGGTGATCCCCAGTCGTCACCATGACTTGGATGATTCGGGGGTAGCCGGGTAGCAATGTACCAACCATTGATGTGGGGTCTCCATCAATGGGGGTATCCCCCAAAATGGATGGGTTATTTCATGGACAATCCCATGAAAATGGATGATTTGGGGGTACCAACCATTTATGGAAATCCCCTTTTTTGTTCAGTCTCCATCTCCAATCGATTTTTCAATATCGCAAGACCCTCCTTGTTGTCTCAAAACAAGGTACCCCAGCATCCAGCGGTTCATCAATCTCCCTACTGGAGTTGGGGGGATCTGCGAATTTACAGACTGACCCATTAAGGTGCCATTCTTCAAAAGTTGAATTCTATAGCTGTATTGGGGGATGGTCGCCAAGCAACTCGTAGGGATTTACATATATATATAATATACAAAATCGATTATAAGGATTCCCTGTGTATATATATATATATGTGTATATATATATATATATCTCATTTTATATCCGGATTTAATATGGATATGGATGCTCATGGATTTTCATGGCCTGGGATCATAAACCATTCATCCCATGTAACCTGACCATGGCAAAGCCCATGGCAACATACGTGACGAATCCCTTCACGGCCGGCGAGGTTCTGGAATCGGGATACAAAGATGTCCCAGGCCACTCATCATTTTGGGAGTCTGGGGTGTGGCTAACACGGCGAGATGTTTTTTGTACGGGTGGGACATAACCAGCAAAAAATGATGGCAACATTTTGTCAGATCAAAGAGATCGTGAATTTTTATGGAATATCCATATCCATTAATATCCCATTCATATCCCACTCATATCGATGAATATCCATAATATAATATAAACTGAGATCAACGATTGGGAATTTTTGGCACATTTTGGCACTTTGGCTTTGTCCAAAATGGGCATCTCCTCTGTGGCCATTCAACGATGAGGCTCATCGTCCTCTGGGTGTTGATTGCAGATACATTGCTGAGGATTGTCCCATAAAATAATACATAATACATAATAAGACATAATAAGACATAATAAAACATAATAAGACATAATAAGATATAATAATACATAATAATAAATACATAATGATACATAATGATACATAATGATACATAATGATACATAATGATACATTTTTCATAATGATATATATATATATTACATATATTATTGTATTGTAGATATATACCTGTTTTGCCATGCTGTAGCCACCCTTTTTACCCCTCACTTCCGACCACAGCCATCCAGCTCTGAAACATCAGCCGGATCGCGCGGATTGCAGAGCCTAGAACCGAACGAATGGCGTCGACTGTGCCGCGAAGCGAGTTGAAGTTCACCAAGATGTGCAGGCGACGCTGGAAATTTGGATGAGATTTTCTTTTTTTGTGAAAAGATCTAGAAGAATTTGCTAGCATCAAAATAGTACGGAATGACTTGGATCTATCTTTTGGGCACTCCTGTTATGCTCTAGTTTTATCATGTTTTATCGAACCTGGTTGAACAAAAACGATCTGTGCTGAAAGTCATTTACGGTCGGGAGATAATTCTTGTTACAAGCGTTTGATTACCAGAGGGCAAGAAAATCAAGAGCCTGATTGGATGTGCATGCCAGGAATTGTCAATGGAACATAAATTTAGACATGGCAATTCAATATCCTATATAATCCTACATATATATTATATTATATTATATTGTATTGTATTGTATTGTATTATATTATATTACATTACATTATATTATATTACATTATATTATATTATATTATATTAAAATATATTATATGGGGTGGTTCAATAGGAAAATTCGCAAACTAGAGATGGTGGATTTTCATGGATTTTTTTTTTCGTCATGTTCGATGACCAAAAGGTACTGGGAATATGCACGCCCTGCACGCCCCCTGTAGGGCCGGATGTCGGTCATGTGCTTCTTGTCATTACTGTCAGTTTGGCCAGGCCGATGTAAGAAATTTCAAGAAATGCTTTTAGCTGGAATCTGAGACGATGACGACAAGTGCTCAAGTGCCCAACCAATGGATAGCCGCCCAAGCAATGGACCCTCTGAAACCTGACCCGTGTCCACTCTCCAGGCATTGGATCGCAGGGAAGTGCAACATGGGTCACTGGGTCTTCGATCGTTGTCAGATCGGGAAAGTGTCATTTCAAAAACACATGGGATATGCTCGGTCTGTTTTGGATTATTCAAGTGGGTCGTCCTATCCAGTGTCACTTGGGTCAAATTCGGAGCTAGGTATTTATACTGGATTCCTATTAAATGAGGATTTCCCAAGTAGCTATACTTCGAGTTTCCCGACCACGTGATAGTTGCATGATAGTTATTGCCGGCTGTATATCCCCTTAAATCCCCATTTATATCATCAATGTTGGTAAAACAAGAATAAACCATCCCCAATTTCACCATACATGTTGGTATAAAGCATTCCCAAATGGTTGGTCTATGTTGGTCTATGATTGTTGTTCCCAGATGATCCCATTTTTGGCATCAGAAATGACCAGGGAAATCTTTGCTGAAAAAATCGCCCGGTTTTTTCGGGATGTTGATCCCTGAACCAGTGCCCTGACCCCCCCATGTTGATAGCAGGCCGCAAAACAAAACGATGGTCCCATAGGGATTAAATCTTGATTTAATATGATATATGGTGATAATGATATATGATAATATTATATATATAGACATATCTGGGTAAATTATAACAACCTCACTGTTCTCCCTCACTGGGAATCATGGTTTAGATATAGGGAATCATCCCCAAATGGCCGCAAGATTCAGGTTAGTGAAATACTATGATTTACTCAGATTACTCCTATCTGAAGATATAGATAGATATAGTGATAACTTACTGTTCTATCTTTTTGTGTGTTATAAAAAAACTCTCAAATCATATGGTTGCTTTCCCTGAAAGCGTTTCCCATTGATTCCTCTCTCTTCAAGCCACCTTTCAAAGCCTGAACCGGCCTCACTTTTTTGGTGGTTTCCATAGACATGGGGGTATCCCAATAGCTGGAGGGTTTATTTCATGGAAAATCCCAATTACTAAAATGTGTGATGAATTAAATAGGTAGCCCTATTTCAGGAAACCTCCATTTTGCAATGTTGAGGAAATGAATCATGGTTTGATGGTTAAATCAACTTAAACAACATGGTGAATGATAGGTTACCGGTTACCTATCATTTCTGTTGTGCCATTTTGGTAAGAACATCGACTTTGTGGCCATCCAGTTACAACGACATGCCCCGCCTCTGGGTGTTCTTCGACATGTCCCCAGGTCAAAGCTGCAACTTTGCTCATTCAGCATCTCGGCGTGATATGATCTTGCTCGAACAGTCGTGGAACTGGCTCCTAGGGCAGGGCAGCTCCGGGACTAAACCAATACATAACCAGAAGTGGGGGAAAGTGAGTTTCAATATGTTTCAATATTATAGACCATGTTTGCTTCTTTCGATCCTTTCGATCCTTTTGTGGTTTTCCGTTTTGACGTCCAATTTCGCTCCAGGTTCCTTTCGCTCGTTCCTTTTTCTTCTGTTTAGACGCCTCTGGTGATGAAATGTTACCCCTATTAGAATGACTGGTTCAGACATGTTTTTTGTATACCAAAAATAAGTATTGTTGATAATAGAATGAACGTCGTGCTTTTGAAATCCCTGTGATAAGCATGGACTGCAATTCGGAATTTACATATCTCCAGTTATACTAGCGCGGGTTACTAGTTGGGCCATGGTGAAAACAAGGTTTAGTTTCCCATCGAAGGGGAAGGTCAATGAATTTTCACAGGGGTTTTGCTGTACCCTGTATGTTCGGAATCATTGATGATTGGATGACCTTTTTGCACATGTTCGGAATGACATACATACTGGATATAATCCATAACATCCAGTCACATCCCATAACTCATGATCCCTACTCATTGATCCCGTCTACCATCCGGTAATCATGGCAATAGAACATTCAGAAGCATTTAGTTCGCTGATATTTTTTTCCCATGATATATCTATGTTTTCCCTCTCTTAGCATTCTTATGGCTTCAACCACCCAAAATATGGCAACAAATGATCGCCATCATCGTACTAACATCGTTAAACCTCATTGAACATCATTAAAACCATTCATTAAACATCATGAAAAACCTGATTAAACATCATTAAACCATCTTTTCATATCTTTTCCCATGAGATTTCCATCCATTTCTTTTCCCTCCATGACTCTTGGGAGTTCCCCCAACGTCCGTCTGTCGATGTCTGTCGCCTCAGGACCTGGAGCTCAGAGAGCAGCCGAACCTCGTGGCCACCCAGCTCTGTTTCCGTTTCTCCGCCAAAGGCCGGGCGCCAGTGCCGCCGCGCCGGGGGGAAGCTGCTGGAGTATCGGTGGATCGATTGGGGATCTATGGGGACAACAAAAAACTCATTGACTCACTAGTGGTATTCGGGTCTAGCTATTTTTTCAGGAATTCCACAACAAAACACTATGATTCAGGTAAGAATTTAGGAGGATTTTGGTATGTAAAGATATTAGATAAACTAATAGCAAGCTTAGTTGACGAGTCTAAGGGGGATTTCTCCAGCACAAATTAGGAGAGGCGACAGAATTGATGGTTAGAATGTGTCAGAGCGGGGTTCCAGGGCTTGAAAGAAAGGATCCAAGCTGTAGAAAAAGGGACAAAACAGAGAAAACACCTCCAACGTGCAGTTACACATCATTTCCCAGATTTCCATGACTTATATACACTTACACCCTAAATTTAAGATGGTACCCAATCATTGCAATATCCAATTGGGGACACTGATCTTCACCATTCAGGACCCACAAATATAAGGGTTCCATGTGGCTTGCTGGAAAATCCCCCACGGGAGTTGGAGGATTTCCCAGCTTTGGTTACTTATTCATTACACCCATCAAAAACAACCAGACATTCCCATGTTCATGGTTAGTTTAACCATTTACTCCCTATTTTTCAGCATCATAAATCCCCATGATATTCCAATTATAGATCCCGTATATGTTCACTATGTTTGATAATCAAATCCCTAAAATCCCATGTTTGATGAGATAAAACCACATTAATATCCATGAAATCCCTAAATTATCACTAACAAATACAACCCGCATTGTGAATTCTGTTGTAAATAACCTATATTATGCTCGTTTTTAATTCTGAAACCGGCGAGCCTCCAAAAACCGAGGCAGATGTAATAAAGGTGCCAAGTGCACCTTCGCCCATGGTCGAGAGGAGTTGCGCAGAACTGAGAAACGTCGAGACTCGCGACTTGCTACCAAGAGATTTTTCGGAATTTTTGTCAAAGTTTTTTTTTGCTTAAAAAAGTAAGGATGTGTTGACGTTTTTGTTTTTAACTTTTTTAAACGTTTGTTTTGTTTGTTGTTTTTTGTGTTTCTAGTGAGTTGTTTTTTGTTAGGGATGGTTTAAATTGGTGGTTGTGGATTAGGATTAGGAGTTAAAACGGTTTTTAATATATTGTTAGTCAGGTTGGTGAACCGTTCTTATCTATCCATAGCATGGACAATCAAGAAATCCTTCTTAAGCAAGCAGTAGCTGCAGGATTGAGACTTACATACCATTCAAATTGTTGTGAGTAGCACTGTAGTACTCACATTTACCCTCTGGTAATTTAACATAGCTATTGAAAATGGCCATTTATAGTGAGTTTTCCCATTAAAGATGACGACTTTCCATAGTCCAATGTAACAACAAAACCTTTCATTAACTCCGCTGGTTCATCTCCGTATTTTTCTCGCTGGTTCATATGTATCTATGTTGACTATGTCTGAACTGAATTTGGTTGTTTAAATTCCAAATTCCAAGTGTTTCATACTTACCTCTGGTTTTGTTGGTTCAAACTCCTCAATTTCGCTTGCATTGTGTTGCGTTCGTAACTGGGGAAACTAACCCCCACAAACACTAACCAGGTACAATTTCGTGCGGTGACCCACCTGATATCAACATATCCCAGAACATATTCCAAAGAAATCCACAGCGTATGGTTTCATATGGTTTCATATCCCCATATATTGTACCCCTCCAATATACCCCGTGATACCAGGCGACGTGCGAATCTGGAGCCGATGAGGGTCAAACTGCAGGCAACTCCAGAACTTTCCGTATGTTTACAGCGGGGTATTGCATGTATGGGACAGGATATAACGAAGAACAGTCTAGATATTTGGGCCATTTGGGATGTGGAGTCAGTAAGTGATTAATAATAACCATATTATACGCAAGTTATATACAAGTTGGGGATCAAGAAAAGGACTTGAATGAACCGCTTCCTATACGTGGGATGTCCAAGTGTAGAGTCGTTGATCAGCTGAGCCATGAACATCTCACCGGCTTTTTGGGACTTCACTGGGGTAGGGTTTTGACCTATATATATATACATACCGATATTACACTTAATATATATATATTTATACATATTATAATATACATTATATATATAAATATATGACATTATACAATATATGTATATATATGTATATACACACCATATGGTTTGAACCTACCTTGTGTATTGTTTTATAGGGACACCTATTTACCAGCATTTCAGAAGGGATGGCAAAACGGGGTATGTTTCGTGGCTTTAGTTTCTGCGGACAAGCCTTGGTTTCTTGTGTTCCGAACATACCATGCCATGGATTGGTGGGTTCATTGAACAACACACCGTCTGGTAAACTAACAGTTGGCTATAGAAAATGGCCCATGCAAATAGTTGATTTACTTATTAAACATTGTGATTTCCCATAGCAAACTGTTAGTTTACCAGAGTGTAAATTATCTTGTTGTCTGCTGCCGCACTGTTTCTGCAGCAAATCGAGACGTGCAAAACCTCGGATCCAAAGGGTTTTCGTAGACTTGACCCACATAGAGTGAAAACCCAAGGACTTCTACGGCGAAGAGTTTAGTGAATGATATCTCTGTCCGAGATTGGGATATGATATATATATATATAATATAGATACATACCGGTATGTTTAGGTACTAAGCAGGTAACAAGTAGCCATTGACTTTCCCCTATGGTTGAGCCCGTGCTGTCCATGCCATTTTCATTGGGACATGTAATAAATATCCCTGTGTGAGGCATGGTGTTGATCATGGAAATGCCAGGGTACTCCCTACTGGTACAGCTATCCCCAAACAGATGAAGCCTGCTTCATTTTTCACGGCCAAGCCTTCTTCTTGGGGCTTATGAAAAGCGTATTGTTGGGGAAGACCTTGGGAGCTCCCCAGCTGCACCGTGGCAGGATGACTGCAGGGATCAAGTGGCCGTGACAAGCGTCACACTGGCAAGCGCACCCATGTCCGTACAGGCAGGGTGTACTCAAAATGTCCATTTTTTCATGGGAAAATGGTGATTCACCCGTGGATTTAGGGGTACCAAATTTTCAGACAAACCCAGATGTTGGGTATGTTCCACCCCATTCCATCCGCTGATGAATCATCATTTTCCGTCAGACCCATGTATCTCAAGTTGACTAGTTATATCATATCCCATTACATTCCTTCAAATGGTTGGTTCCCCCATTACATCACCGTTACAAACCCAAAATCTTCATTAAAGAGCGTTGAAACTGGTGATATTCCATCAATCATATCCCATCAAATATCCAACATACCACCATATATTGTTGGTCAAATACCATTAAAAATCCAATTATAGATCCATCAGTTCCCATGATTTCCGATCATTTCCTATCATTTCATTGATATCATCGCTGGTTAGTTACATTAAACGACCACATATCGAAATTACATCCCTTTTTGAACCATATCTTGCTTAAAGACGCCATCTAAAAAAATGGTTAAATACAATATATATATATATTTGTATACACCATATATTCAAATACCTCAGCTTGGTTAAATACTATTAAACACCACGTTCTGAATGGTCAAATACCATATGCCGGATGGTGCCCCCCAGTTATGTTTGTTGATTTATAATCCCCTTTAACTACAGTTATATTCCCTTTAAACCCTAGTTATTGGAAATCAAAACCGCATTGAAATGGCTCAGCCAGTTCCAGTTCCGCAGGATTTGAGCTGCGGGCTGCTCTCGGTCATCTCGCCGCCTCCGGGACTGGAACCGCCGACACGTCAGCCTTTGAGCATCGATGCGCTCCTACGCAAGGCGAGAAGATCTATGCTATGATCTTGAATGAGAAATTCTATGGTTTGTGGATGTTTATGGTTTTCATATATGACGGCTAATATATGGTTAGTATGATATGAAGAATTCTATGGTAAATATAATTAGTAATGAGAAATTCTGTGGTTTATGGTTAATATATGGCGGCTAGTATATGGTTTGTGGCGGATTCTGGTGCACCTGAGAATTTCTACCGCTGAGAATATTTATGGTTTATGGTAGATATATCAAACTAGTTATATAGGTGCCTGATTTTTTCTCAGGAGCCAGTGTGTTATCAGAATACCTAGACCCTCCAAGTACACCAAGAATGGGCAAAAAGTATTAAACATTTGTGGTAAAGCACTATTTCTATGGGTACAAATGGAGGGTCTAGGTATATAGAATATACATTATCTGTGGTTTATGGTAGATTGAACTGGTTAATCGGGTTTATTTTAGCCAACATTAACCATGTGGTAAACCCAATGCCATGCCAGCACCATCCCATTAGCCAAGCATGACTGAGGGTCATTTTGCATCATCCGAACATATCCGAACTAATTAGATGCAAACCCAACACCAAACCTCTATTGGGGATGATTTTCTGATTTTTCCCACATTATGATCAATCTAATGGGTCAACCTTGGTATGGATTTACCATCAATAACTGGAGGAAACCTGAATAATACGGAAGATTTAAGCAACAATTCCTGGAAGAGTTTTTTTTTTGTGTATGTGTGGGATATAACTCGACTAAAAAATCGTTGGTCAGCCTTAGATGGGTAGTTTAGTACTCAAAGTAAAATGGAGAAACCAACTGGAATAGTATAATAAACTATTGGTGCATGATTCTAGAGATTCTTCAATCTACTTCTATATACATATATACACATTGTAAACTACATTTTATTGGAATCATGGGGAATTATTCACCAACAATTTAATGGGGATATTTCAGTAGGATCGTGGTTCAGCAAAAAAAGGATGGGTAGTTGCTTATGGCACTTGAAAATACTAACCAGCTCCATGACATGAATTAGCAGAGTATCTAAGATTGGGGATGACCCGCGGATTTTCCGGTTGCTGAATCCACCAGAACTGGGGAATTTCAAAGATACATGTTTTATTTTGCTTGGACCTTGAAACATATCCAAGTATACATATGCAAAAGCGGAGGTCATACAGTTGTACATGTTTATCACATCATACGTATTCGTATGTATATAGAGCATATACACGAATGTGTATGTCTGAAGCATATGTGGGGCCCCACATCATTTTCCGTATTGCAACTGCAACTTTATCGGTGTTCCCATTTTCGGACACACCCATATAAGCCCGTATATTCATCATGTGGCATTTTTCAAATAAAAAAACATGTTGCTTGTGTCCCATCTCTTCAATGCTTCGCAGCGTTCAATTGGGCTGGTGGCTGCTGGTTTCAAAAAGTCCAAAAAAGGCAACCTTTTTGAGGAGAGAAACATTACCACTGAAACGTCAACTAGAGACAAACTCCACAATTTGCCTGATTTGTTTCGCCCCTAGATTTCAACGCAGATGTCATTTAGAGCAACTGCTAATATAATTGCCTGAGTTATCCTATGATCGGTATGCCATTGTTTTTATATATCATTATAAGCCACTTGTAACTTTTTCACCCGAAACAACCTCTGGCGCACCGAAGAAACTTTCGCCAACGGCCAGGACTGTTCCGAGACGGTCAGTTTGGCATCCACCCGTAGCCCCAGCCACTCAGTTGATGATTCGGCATGGAGCGTGTTTTTCTTGCATAATTTATGGGCAGAATTTTTAACATCGCTACAGTAAATGTGGTTTAGACTCGAAATAATGATGATATTTTATGGGATATACTATAATTAGTTAGTTCCAACCAAGAATGTTCAAAACCGTTCAGGGCTTTTACTATCCTATATATATATATATATACACGTATATATATATATGTATATTACACATATGTATACTATATACATTGGGGAATTGTCATAATCCATGAGCACGGAAACATGGTGGGTGTGTCTGAAAATGAGGTATCCTCACGATTAGCCGTACTATTTTTTTAGAAACATGAAATTTCCGGTGCGCTATGAATTACCGGACATATCCATCTATGGCCATTCTGGGGAAACCTGCCAGTTTATGGGATACTATGGGATACATCAATGGGAATTTGATGAGGCTAAAATGGGATGTTAGTCATGGGATGTTTGCTCCATTTGTGGCCATTCTAGGTTGGGGAACATGATGATTGATGATGATGATGATGATGATGATGATGAAAACCAATGGATGGAATGGGCCGGGCTTTTCCCCTCAAACCCAGGGTAGGGAATGGACAACATGGGGAACATCTTTTCCCAGGTGTGGCGGTTTGGTATCACCATTTTTTGGTGCAGTTGGGGTGGTGTTTATGGCTATAAGCATGTGATAGCTTCCATAAATTGGGATAACCCCTGTATATAAGTTAATGCCTTACCCTCTGGTAAACATACAAAAAGCTATTGAAAATGGCCATTTATAGTTGATTTACCCATTAAAAATTGTGATTTTCCATAGCTATGTTAGTTTACCAGAGGGTAATGGTAATCTTTTGTGCCAATCCTGCTTTAGATTCAGATCCCAACTCCTTCATTCCCTTTCATTTCAGGGCTTTGAAACCACCGATTCGACATCAGACAGCCCTGAATTCCAGGTACACTGGTACACGACCCACTTTTGATGTTGGTTACATTGGTGATACCCCGCCACAGTTATGGCCCTTTACCAGTTATACGTACTTATAACCCCATTAATGGAATGTTTAATCCCATTGAAATAACCAGTTAGAACCATTTATAATTGGTAAACGGCCATAACTGCAGCACCATGGGTTTTCCATTGATTGGGGTTGGATCACCCAACTCAGGAGATGAAATGTGAGGCTGGACCATTTTCTTTGGACCAAAGCTGATTGGGGCCGTGCTTCTCAGTCGGTTTCCCAATATATGATCATTGAACGATACAGTAATATATATATACATATCATTTATACATGATATATCATACTAAAATGAACTAAGATATCTATATGTATATAATTAAATCATATAGTTATAATAGTTATATAAATGTATATATGTTATGTATATAGTATATCCATAGACATAATGTTTTTTTTTTTCCATTCATTGAACTTCTAACTTATCGATCATAATTCTGGTCATCCCATGGCTGGATTCCGGACATTCCCACGTGGGAGATGTCCCAGGATTATTTGATATATAACTTATGGTATGTATATATATATATTCACCTGGTATATGATATATATGGTATAATTTAGTATAATATGAAATGTATATTTTAGTTTAATGTATGTAATGAATATTATATGGCATATATACTGGATATATATATAATATAACTTATATATATTGATGGGATATGTAATTTAGATTAGTTTAGAATAACGTTAATGCAACTCTACCTATATATATATATACATATTTAACTTTTGGCAAAAGGCGGTAGGCCATATGTCATGGGACATGATGTGATATGATGATATGTATAACTTATAGAACTGACCGAACTGATATTTGTTGATATATCACATGATGTTTGTTTCAAGCGTAAAACATGACACATAGAACTACCCAACTTGATATGCTTTGCTTTGGCAAGGTGGCGCAGCCCACTAACAATTTGTTATGCTCACCAACTTAGCTAACAAACTGGGGCACTTCCTTGCATGTTTCCTAACCACTGTTGGTCACATGATCAATCATGATCATGTCTGATGATGGTCAGATCAGATTGATCTAACCGTCTAATCATAGATAATCACATGTAAGTAATCTTGCTTGGCTTGAAGAACAAAGTCTTGTGATCAGTGGCCTTTCACGCGGAGATGGGGCCAGCAAGATAAATAGGTTGGTTGGTTTACAACCTGGTTACAACTGCGCCAGGAGTTTACGGTGGATATTTCTGCAGATGGGGTTCCAAGCCAAGTGATTTGGGGATGCGGGATGTGTCAAGTCAAAACTGATGATGCGAACAGAAGGCTACCGGTTGGTGAAGAGTTCCCCAGTTCTCCACATTTGATGCTTCAATCATTGTTTGTTGCTCAATTTCTCAATTTTTTCCCTCAATCTTTGGTGAAATCAGCAATTTTCTGTCGCTGGTCGCTCCGGCCCCGGGATCATCCATGCAATCCATGGTACAAATCACCCCAAAAAAACGGACATGATTTCTTACTTGGGCGATAAGTTCCATTTCCGAAGTTTTGTTCACCGGCTCAATGAGGTAAACCTTCGTGTGGCAAGAGGGTTCCTACGTATTGCGCTTCGTATATTTTGTTCATACGGTAGAACGATCTTTGAAAGCATCATGTGACTCGGTGGACCTTCAGATGGTTCGAAAAGTCCCCGGAAAGCTTTTGCTTCGGCCGCAGGTTGAATGGGTGCACCATGGTCCACCGCCTCGGCATCCAGTGTCCAAATCTTCCCGTAGTTTCAAGAGTTTATGACTGCAAGCGAACTTCGGCTTGGAGAAGCCACTAGAAGCCACTAGAAGCATCGTGTACAGCCGAGATGTACAGACACTGCCTCAGTCAGTGTAGCTTCAACAAAGTCAACAAAGTCAACGGTACTTCCCCCAGGAACCTTTGTGTCGCTTTCTGTTCATGATGTCATGCTCTAGGGATTGTTTTGTTCGATCTTTTGCTGAGGTGTCTTTCTTTTGTCATGAAGGTTTCTCGGAGAAATGCTGTGCCTCTTTTTCAACCTTAGCGGCCTTAGCGGCCTTAGCGGGGCGAGCATCGTTGTACAGGATTCAGATGCTCAAAATGGTTGCCACCTCCATTGCACCGGCGAAAGGTCCAGGTGCTATGCCTGGTGCATCGTTCCCGAACACAGTGCGCGTTTGCATGCGCAAGCGCAATTTTGTCCGACAGGAGAACCAAGGTCTTTCTGGACAAACCCTACAGTGAAGGATGAATTGGCTGAGTAATCCTGAAGAGTAGGCCAGTTTTCTATTTTCCGGCTGATGTTTTGCCATGTTTTGCCATTTCGAGGGGAGATATGCTTTAAACGATTCCATTGCCGGGTTAGAACCGCATTTCTGTACTCGTAGCCGTAACTGAGCGGTCACAACTAAGCCAAGTTTTCTCAACGGAAGTTCATCCCGGGGTCTGACAATCACCAGACTTTGTACACTTTCGTAAGTTTTCAGAACATGATATCGGGGGCAAAACCTATGAATTTACCATACTGTGGATGGTTAAGAAATCCTGCATCACCAACCGGATGGTTGAAACCCTATAAAGAATGGGATAAACCACCTATCAACTGGTGCAGGATTTCTTCCATCCACTGTATGATTGCGAGAATCACCGTCCAACTATACCAGCTATGACTTCGGGTACTGTTTGGGTACCATCCGGGTCGGGTTTTGACTCGCTGGAAAGCCTACCATTTGTAGATGTATAAACATGGTGTTCTGGAAAATCCCCCTACAGATTTCGTATAGAAACACCTCCATTTATAATGTTGTTCTTGTTTTTTCTCGAATATCAATGGAGTTTTTGATGGGAAAATCACTATGATATGTACATACAATTGAAATACCTAAATGGGGAATTTTCCAGTGACGTTTGATCACCGGTCTCTCTTTTTTTTCAGTGAAACGCTTCGTATCCACCAGATGGAGCTGACCTCGTGGTCTTCTGTTGTCATTGAGATCGGGCCAACACCGTAAGGGTGAGGCCTCAAGGACCGACGCCTATGACGTCGGAAAAAAGACGGTGGCGCGTCGCCGGTTGTGGAGAAGAAACAACTTGGTGAACGTTTGGGTTAGGGGGATTATTATAAACATCATAGTACGAGTTTTGTAGAACAACTTAGAACTTATATTTGGGGGTCCTTACCTTGTAGCTGTGTCTGAAAAGGGATCTGTGCCCCACCATTGCCATTTAATGTTGAACGTGATAATTAACAGTATGTCGTCAGCCAAACCTTCATGAAGTCAGCAGGTGGCAGATGATTTCGGTATGAACGTTGACTGGTGGTTCGCCTTTTGAGATTTTCATTTGTGATGACCATCCCAATCTTGAGGTGGTTTAAACTACCAACAAGAGAAGATCATTGAAATGGCTGGGTGTTGGGATAGGAGTCTTACTACCCCAAGGCTGGGTTTTTACTCAGTCTCTGAGACGACCCAAACATCCAAAAGCTACTTGTGGCAGACCCAAGGTCCGCAGCCCGTCCGCGCAGCCGATTCGGTTCGTTGTACAGGCTACGCAGCATTGTGCTCCGATCAGTGATCGACTCCGGCGTACAGAATCCACGCCATCCCAAGCTTACGAAGATGACTACCGTTGAGACACGAAAGACCTTGAAGTTCACCAAGATGTGCAAGTTCCTTGGATTCATGGAAGATCAAGCTGGGAAAACAATGATATCTTTAGGATCACCAAATCGAACGAATAGTACAGATTTCAATCCTGGGTTTTTGGTTAGACATGGTCCAGTTGATTGATGAGTACCAACCACTGCAAGCTGATGGAATTTCACGCATATTCTTCTTAAACCATCCCTAATCGCAGAAATTGGCCGTATCGATCATTCTCCGGCAGTTTCTGATTCGGTTTAGCGCATCTAGACCATTCTAAACTAGAGAGATGATGATCCTA